GCTAGAAAATTCTATTCAGTAGCTTCGCATCGTATTTCATCATTTAATTCAAATATGCATGAACACAATTATTGAAAGCGACATGCTAATTGCATTCGTTCCGTTCTGTTCCAATTTCAGCATGTGTACGGTAAATCTTCGCAAGTTCACATTAGCACTGCTGAGGTGATTGATGAGGTGGAAAAAAATGGCAATTCCATCAGACAGATGGCTCAGGTCACATCCGAATAATGTATTTACACTACTACTTTGATGTGAATCCTCTCTGAGCTTTTACACTCCTGCAATAGACTCAGTTTTGAAATGGATGCAGGTTTCAATATTTCCGTTTCCTTGCTGAATTCTCTCGGAAGATACAGATCAACCCTAGAACCACACGATCAAGTCGATGTCGTTTAGCTGATCGCTCAACTCAAATTTCCACGGAAAATTGAGAATCGTCGGACGGAAACTAAAGAATATGATTTCGAACTCGTTCAAATACATCTATAAAACGTGCTTTATACGGTAACAACTGAGTTATACGATGTTGATAAGAATCGGTAAGTGTGTTGTTTGGTTATTGAAACGTGTAGCAGTGAAGCGCAAATCCTGTTAGTAGCGCACCAATCAGACGAATTTAACAACGATGAACGAGGAGAAAAAGCTGGGAATATATCACTTTGAATGGCACAATTTGCAATTCTCAACGACTCACTTGTTAAACCGGTTCGGCTCGTTTTATGAACTGCTACTCATTTATCGATGCGAGCAAAACAGAGCAAAAACGTTGACGTATAGCCAGTGCTAAAGTTTTCAGCCATTAACTTTCATTGCAAATTTAGTTTAGTTTGTATTCGTTGAGTTAGGCTGACTTCTAGCTGTGATTCAACCATAGCAATGAGCATAGCTCCGGCGGAATGCTCCAGCTTAATGCAAAGTTTCCGAAATATGAGAGTGAAATCCGATATATCTACGGCATAGCATGAAAGAATCGAGGTGATATTCCACGATCTCATTGCTTGTAATAATCTCAAGCAATAGGGAGGACACATCAGGTCTTTTCTTAGTTCATACATATCATTTAACCTACACGAAAATGGCATTTCAATTTTTAGTCATATCGTTCTTCCTTTTCATAACATCAACAAATACTTGATTTTTCGTCGTTCAGCGATCATTTCACATTGCATCGAACACGTTTCATTTTGCATTCGCATTGTCAACGAGTCTTCTAGCGTTTCAATGGGTGTGTTCATAAAATCCATAAGATCGCAATAAAATGTAATCCGCTCAACAAGGCATGAAGGCATTGGTGCAACACGGATTAGATCAGTGATGAATTAATCTGATGAGTATCTTTAGACTACAGCAGAATCGCGTTTTTCGACAAAAAGAGTACGTATTGGTGTTGAATCCTAGGAACCGAGCAGAATTTTTATGACCCAATAAGAAGTACATCAAAATTTTAGGGTTGCGATTAGGGAGAATTAAGTAGAGCATAATCTTTTTTGTGGAGTGATTATTAATGATTGTGATGATGACGAATTGAAGGTTGTTGTTGGGAGAGTGCGCTGGATACGGTTAATTGTGGAGCATTCATCAAATAAGGACAGATGAAGACTTCATTAAGGTGGGAAATTCGACGGGGTGAACTTATAAACTGGACCGAGCAAACAGCCAAATTAATGTGTTCCGCAAATTTCATCTGGTAACCTGAAAATCTGAATAACTGACAGATTCTAACGAATTCAATTGGATGATCGATCTCTTTTGCATGCATAATGATTATTGAGGATACGAATCGGTTAATTGCATTGAATCGTTGATAGAATAGTGGTTTTGAGGGGAACTCCTCATGTTGTCTTTGTTGATTGTTTTAAGATGACTGCAGATATGAGCTGGAGATTTGTAGGAAACGCACCGGAAAGCAATCAGATCTCTTTGACTCCAAAAAATTTGGAAACTTTTACGGTAGAAAGTAATGATAAACAAAAGAGGATTTTATGGAGTTTCTTCAGCTAAGCAACACATGCGACTAGCTGAATCATAAATGAGCAAATGTGGTTGATTTTGAAGTTTTTACAGATGCCAACTCATTTGTTTAGTTAGATCGACTGATCGCTTCTCTTCTACTTTATTGTTTGTCAAATGTCAAAAATCATTTGCAAAGAGTGAAATAATCTCTGGTGCAGTTGCTATGGAATTCTTGCCAGAAATTACGTGAATTTGAAATATTTCACATTCACTCATCAGTCGCTAATGCCTTACATATCATCAAACGTATCGATTAGGTGTTCATGGGTGCTCGGTGCTGCTTTGCCGCCATCTTAGAATGGAACCTCACGAAAATTTGTTTGTTTCAAGGACGTGAGCACGAAACGGCTTTGATGATGTGCGATTTTTGAAATTCCCTTCCATCACTCGTTCATAATAATTGCCGTCGTATAAATGACGTTCCATCGACGGCTGTACCGAAGATAATGATCCCCATGAGAAATCGAAATCGTTTCGTTCAGATGAATGACCTCAACGAAGAGCACTGAAAATGTCAACAGTCAACTGTTCCCAATATGGGGTGATAATAATAGAGATGAATTAGAATGGAAATGCTTCCAATCGAATCTACACCTATGAATCTAGTCAAACTGATTCCAAGTTCGACGAATTCGGAATCCAATGAATAAAACTGGGATAATTTTCTCACTGGGTAATGAATGTAGCTTCATGAAATATGATCTTGAACTTCATGAAATATTTTCGATTTGACTTGAACCATAATCTTGATCACAATTCAAGCGATAGATTGTATATGTGAAGATGTTGATCAAGATAGCAATAGGGATGATTCAGACAGTTCGAAATATCGTTTCCAACACAAACTATAATGTACATTTGCTAACTGAACGTAATATTTTTCAAGCATTTTATGCTGTGCAAGAAATCAAAATAATGATTTTGTTTTAACACACAGTCCGACTGCACTCGTCACATTTCGTGACGAGTTCAAGCAAGAATTCAAGCCTCATTTCTTAACGAAAGAACAGCTGCAATGATACAAACCCTCTGCGTTGCATGATATCGATTTTTCGACAAATCATCTTCAGTAGTTCATTGTGGAATGAATTTATTTTTTCGAAATATTATTTCATTAAGCAATCAAAAAGATTGCTTGCTAGATGGAAAAATCGCCTCAGCCGCATTGTGATGCATTGACCTCATCAGCACGAAAAAGCATTGCTACGATTCAGATCAAAGCGTTACTATAAGTTATAATAAGAAAAGTTTTTTTACGATCACGATGGAGCTATATACTGGAACTTTTGTGTGCGAAAGATTTGGTGCTAGGGAAATGGCAAAAGAGTAGCAATAATTCTACTGAATACATATGGCAGCAGCTGTTCGTCAATGCACGATTCGTGATTGTTGTAATCAGCCATTGCGTTGTGTTGTGTGTATGTGTGCTCAGCACATTGTTCGTAGCCTGAGGTTATTCTTGAACTCATTCAATCCCACTCCCGTCAGTGTACGAATTCACTGCACCAGTCACTAGGTAGTGTGCTTTACGTCCATTCCAAAACTGCACCAAAATGCAGTTAGACGGTCTCAAATACTATATATTCCAACTGTATCAGTTGGTCGTTGTTGTTGCCATAATATGCATCGTATTCGTCGTTTACATGTTCAAATATGCATCCAAACCAAAATCTTCGCCCAAGAAAGCTGATCAGAAAGAAAGTGCGCCTAAACCGTCCGGTTTGAAACAACCCGAAGTGAGGAGCAATCTGAGGGTGTCGAACAGCAAGTCCGCCACTGAGGCAAAGAAAATTGATACGGCAAGTAGTGAAGAGGAAGAGGAAGAGGAGGAAGAGGAGGGTGAGGTTGTGATGCCACGAAAACGACGTATTATTTCTGAAATTACCGTTTCATCGACATAAAAGGTAAACTTTTTTGCAAATTTTTCAACTGTTCACAGTATAGCTAAGCACTTATTTTTATTATGCGACTTCCTGAGTGGTGTTCGCGTTGAACTCTGAGTATAGCTAGTCGTAAGCATTATGGAATTTCAATGATCAGGTCAGAAACTCACATATGCGAGTTCATTCATCATGGAATTCTAATGTGAAAGTGTGAAATAATCTTGAATTCGGTAATTGCTCTAAGAGGAGATCAATTCTCTGTATCGTTATGCATGATATCCAAGTTTTCGATGCGAGTTGAATATGCGAGTTTATAATCATTTTTGGGTACGTGAAATTTGCGATAGCTGTCTCGACTGTGATCATTTTAACTATTTCAAAGTGAGGCACCGGAAACAGCGTATATTGATTATCCGATTTGCATTCTCTTACCGATGAGTGATCGAATTTCACGCTGAGCATATGCGAGTTGAATATTATGTCAATGTTGCGTTATCCAGCCTCATCACTGTATCATCGGTGAATGTCGTAACGACTTTAGTACGTAAGAGGGTTAATAACATTTGCTGTAGTATACGCCGATGAATTGAAATTTTTTTCCGAATAATATTGCGAGATATCTTGCATTTTAATGTTCACAGGCCATTTGTTTGATGCGAAAATTTGACAAAATCACTATTCTAGTCACTGTTATGATTATGTCGCAATGCTACTCAAGAGTTGAAGATATCAATCGATGTGAATTTTTGGGAGAAATTAACTGAGAAGTTTCTTTAATAATGGTTTTTCTCATAAGCTAGCTCTGATTTGCATTCGGTGGTAAAGTGTCCCTGAAATAGGAGTAGTTATTTTAAAGGGTGAGGGTAGAACTACTTACAGAGTTCATTTAGACTAGATTGTGCAAGCAGGCAATGTTGCTAAAATTATGAATTATATCTTCGACCAGATGGGATTTCTGCTTGCAAAAAAGCGTTTTGCTCAGATGACTAAACATTTTGTTCGACGTCAATTCGAATCATTTCAGATTTTCGATATCGATCCATCGCACATCTCAATTCGACAACAACAACCATCGAAGTGAAACAATCAAATCCGAGGCAATAACAACTGCACAATAAAATGATCATAGCTTGAATTTCATCAATTGCTTCAAATTTGCACTTATACTCTATTGAAAATATTACATTCGGGTGATTTAGCATGTGTGAAATTTCATTTAAAAACGTTCAGTTGTCCCCGAAATAAGATAGTCATATTCGTTGATCTAGGAAATTTGATGATTTGCAAGACTTGAAGCGACTGTATCGAGCTGCATCACTGATCTCGCTTGATCATTTTCAAATCCAATAACTATCTGCTTTTATAGCCATCAGTTCGAAAGAAATTTCCTGAAAAGGTTCTGGCAAAGTGAGCGAACTACCGTTAGCATCACCAAAACTAATTTTATTCATCGCTTTTCACTATGTTCCATGTATTGTCCATGCTTTGATAAGTGAAATAAATGGTTTATATTTATCGCCAATTGTCTGACAGAAAGAATATATCGCTGGTCAATCAGCAGCTACCAACGGACTCAGGACATACGAAGTTTTCAGCAGACCACAGCTTGAATGAAAAGACTAAGGAACTGACGTATAAGCTGAGAATGTGCACTTTCTCCTTAAGATAATAATTCTATCACTGTTGTAAAAAAGTTTATTGTTTCATATATTCATTGGTTCTTGAAGTAAATTCCTTCTTGCAGTAAATTCAAGAAGCAAATTCCTTCTTGATCGCGATTTATATGTTCTTGAATTGCGATATTAGCGCACATTTTTAGCACATTCTCACTCAACTGAGAATAAATATAATGATAACCGATGCTTATCGCATCATATGTAGACGACCATTGGTACGCTAGGCTCTCTCTACTCATTGAGATGAATAGACTTTATGATAGAGTGCTACCCAGCTATAAGGAGCTAACAACAGATAATTATCTAGATGCTGAGAAAACCGATGCAAAGAACTGAGTGTGTCAAAGTGAGCAACTATCGGATCATTCTTTGAAACTTGAGTCGTTATTTCTGAAGGACCATGTCCGTCATATACTTGCGAACGTAAGCATTCAAATTCCTCATCAACCAGTCGAGAACTTCAATGTAACGTATAGTTTCTCCTAAAATGTTTGGATAGATTGATTTCATTCTGTTGTCAGTTACTTTCCCCGAAAGTGTACTTATCCCTGGTCACTTTTTTCAGCAGATTCTCCTCTATTCCAAGATATCAATCGTCTTGAAGAGAAACTCACTCCGTTCGAATCATAGGCCCAGAAAGCAGCATGCTTCAATTGATCATCGCACTCGATACGCACTTCAATTGATCATCGCACTCGATACACTTGATACGCACTCGAAAGCGATCAAAACGTCATGCTTCACTCCAGCCATGGAAGTGTTTTTACCTACCCGATGTGTATAGTGAGCACTTCGATGACAGGCTATACAGGGCTTGACAGGCTATGCATGCACGGTTGATGTTAAGAACAGACATCAAGAGTATTTCCATGACAGACTGTACAATGCTTGATAGACTCTGCATGCGCAGATTGATATCGAGAGCAGACACCGAGAGTATTGACTGATCTATATCAGGATCCGCCCACCTACACCCATGATCACAGCCACCTTATCAGTGCTTCATGCCGTTCAGATGGCATTGTTTCATGGTGCGCTTGTTTACGACTGTTGCTTCGGCATCATCTCTGTTTCCATTCTAGCTTTTCGAGTTGCTGTCGAACCCAATCGACAGTGCCCCTTCATCATATTCACTTCACTTCAACTCAACAGTTTTGAATGTTTCATCAAGTTCAACAATCCATGCAATTGATATTGCGAATAATGTGATACTGAATGCTATCACAGATCGTTATTATGTGTTCATCTTTATAGAACTCATATGATTACTACTTATCGCTACGAAATTATGAATTTGGATCAATTTTATTATTCAGTAGTATCATTACGGTTCTCAGTATCAACATTGTAGGATGCAATGACACTTTCAGTGGTCATTGCGTTTAGGATTTTTGAACTTTGTGATTCCTTTCGTTGATATTCATTAGGATCTATCGCTTTGGTCCTACTCATGTCTTCGAGATGCGCGTGCGATTTTGTTTTGAAATGCAGTGTGAATGAGCATCTTAAGAAGTACTCTAAAACGAGTGATACACACAGAAACATGGGAGGACGGAAGTAGAGAGTGAAATATAACAGGTGATTAATGATCGTGTGAATAGAAAAAGCTGCGGTAAGCACCATGGGAATTGTAATAATACTGGCTATAAAAACGGTGATTTTCGAAAGAATCATTGAAACGGAGTATTACGTTAACGTTAAAGTAGCAGCAATAGAAAAAGTAATGATTTGTGAGGGAATTGAAATCTTCAAGCATTGCAAACAGCAATTATCCATAGAATGCATTCGGTTGATTTCGATAACATTTTTTGCAATGATAACGATTACGAATATTCTCCAACGAGAACGCTGAAGTCAGCTTTTTACTCCATCGAAATTCATTCGCATTCCTAAATGCAAAAGCACGAGAGTTGAAGATCACAATGGAAAATTTGAGAATTCGTACCA